AGAGCAGCTGGCTGTCTGCAAAGTGCTGCTCATCTTTGACGGCCTGGATGAAAGCAGACTTTCTCTGGACTTCAGAAACAGTGAGGTTGTGTCTGATGTCTCACAGCAGTCCTCAGTCAACGTGCTGCTGACAAACCTCATCAGGGGGAAGCTGCTTCCCTCGGCTCTCGTCTGGATAACTTCCAGACCTGCAGCGGCCAATCAGATCCCTCCTGAGTGCGTGGACAGGGTAACAGAAGTACGAGGCTTCACTGACGCCCAGAAGGAGGAGTACTTCAGGAGGAGATCGAGTGATGAAGACCTGTCCAGCAGAATGATCTCTCACATCAAGAGCTCCAGGAGCCTCCACATCATGTGCATGATCCCAGTCTTCTGCTGGATCACTGCTGCAGTTCTGGAACACATGTTGACTACAGACCAGAGAGGAGAGCTGCCCCAGACCCTCACTGACATGTACTCACACTTCCTGCTGGTCCAGACCAAGAGGAAGAAGCAGAAGTATGAAGAGGGACATGAGACGAGTCCACAGCAGCTGACGGAGGCTGACAGGGAGCTTCTTCTGAAGCTGGGGAGGCTGGCGTTTGAACAGCTAGAGAAAGGACACATCATGTTCTACCAAGAAGACCTGCAGCGCTGTGGTCTTGATGTCACAGAGGCCTTGGTGCACTCAGGAGTTTGTACAGAGATCTTCAAAAGAGAGAGTGTGATCTTTGAGAAAACAGTCTACTGCTTTGTTCATCTGAGCATTCAGGAGTTTCTGGCTGCAGTCTACATGTTCCACTGTTACACCAACAGAGACACAAAGGTACTGAAGGACTTCCTGCAGGGAGACTATAACAACAGGTATAACAGAGATCATGATTACCCATCCCTGGATGTCTTCCTAAAGGGAGCCATGGCGAAATCCCTCAGAAGTGAAAATGGCCACCTGGACCTGTTTGTCCGCTTTCTCCACGGCCTCTCTCTGGAGTCCAACCAGAGTCTGTTAGGAGGCCTGCTGGGTCGCACAGACAACAGACTAACATTCATCCAGAGACTCTTCAGAGGCCAGCTGGGTCGCACAGACAACAGTCCAGAAACCATCCAGAGAGCCATCAAGAACCTGAAGGAGATGAACAGTGGTGACATCTCTCCTGACAGGAGCATCAACATCTTCCACTGTCTGACAGAGATGAAGGACCTCTCAGTACATCAGGAGATCACAGAGTTCCTGAAGTCAGAGAACAGATCAGAGAAGGAACTCTCTGTGATCCACTGCTCTGCTCTGGCCTACATGCTGCAGATGTCAGAGGAGGTTCTGGATGAGTTGGACCTGAGTCAGTACAAAACATCAGATGAGGGGAAACAGAGACTGATTCCAGCTGTGAGGAACTGCAGGAAGGCACAGTAAGTCCAGATGTGATTCACTTTATAAACTAATGTGGATCAGGAGTTTAATTATTCAAATAAACACTATAACATTTCTGCTGTTTAAATACTGAGAGCAAAATAAACCAACACTGTTCTTCTATTTATTTATAATAATAGTTAAACTGAAGCGTTCCTCTCTTCATGTTGAGTGATGGAGGCGACATGTCAAACACATGAAGGACTTTAGAGGTTTCTCAGCATGTGATCAAACCACACAGCAGGACTTACAGTTATCAGTTATTATTACTTTCTAGTAGTTTCTTTATCATTAAACACACACGTTTTTATCACAATGTTTTAGAGTTTAAAATCAGATCTATATCATATCCCACCAATACCAGAGTTATGTCTTAATACTCATACAGTGAGAACATCTGATGGTATTCAGTTTAAAATATTGAAACTTTATTGGTTTGTTAACTGTGTTTGTGTGCACAATACATTTCCAGATGCTCAGAGAAGACAAAACATCCATCATTCACATCTAAATATTAATCAACATTTAAATATGTACATCTCTAATATTGTCAAGTGATTTATTTAATTTCTGTTTCTTTGGTAACAGTCAGTGAGAGCAGGAGCACAGACCTGTGATCAGATCACACTGACAACTCATTACACTCTATCATATATGATTATATATAAAATGGACTAACAGCAAATCTCAATCAGAACATGTCAAATATGTTTTTCATCAAATGCTTGAGGTCATTATGTTTCCTCTTTTTTAACACATGTTGTAATATATGTTTTATTATAGTCTTGCTCGCTGTGGACTCTCAGAGACTCACTGTGAAGTCGTGGCCTCAGCTCTGAAGTCTGACCCCTCCCATCTGAGAGATCTGGACCTGAGTTTCAACGATCTGGAGGATTCAGGAGTGGAGCTGCTGAGTTCTGGACTGAAGAGTCCAAACTGCAGACTGGAGGCTCTCAGGTCAGTTCACTGACTGAACTTCATCTGTTTGTGTTTATCATTTTCTGAATTTGAAAAAAATACTGTGAAGCTGACAATTGAGCGGCCCGACCAAGGAAGGAGACAGAGGCAGAACGTTCAAAATACAAGCCGGTGTGGGCATTTATTACCTCATAAACATGTGACACAAAGATTCACAGCCTCAATCCTGCCGAACATGTGCACACCGTCACCAACCACAGGGATCTCACACACACTCCCAGCCTCAAAACAGACAGGGCAACAGACCCTAAATACACACTAATCAGCAATTAGACACAGGTGGGGGGGGGGGGGGAGGCAACACAGGGCACCAGGTGCACACAATCAACAGCCACAGACAAGGAAGGGGAACACTTTTAACATGAAACCAGCAAACAGAGACAGACAAACTAAAACACATACAGACACACACACTACCTACATTTCGCCACCAACAAAGCTACACAATCCGTGACGGAGGCCGAGATCTATGGCCCCAGAGATCACCTCTGTTACAAATACATTACAATGATTTTTCCATTTTTGCTAAAGACTGAATATTGATCAGAATAACAAAGAGTAGGTGAATGTGTGAGGGAGAGTGTTTGAGCTTCCACTGACTCACTCTGTGCTCCATGAGTCAGTGGAGATGCTGTCAGTACTGATGAGCTGTGAGGGAGATGAAGGAGTTGATAAACATCTGATCAAAGTTAAAGTTCCAGATCATCAGTGGATTGTTTCTACATCATCTCTGACATTAAAGGTCTCCTATCATGCAAAAGTCACTTTGTGATGTCTTCTCTCCATCACCATGTGTCCCCGGTGTCAGGAGACTCACAAAGTGTCAGGAAACAAACCCCTCTCTCTTTCCTCCGTTCCCACATCTCTAAAAACGGGGGGAACAACGGAGCTGATCCAGATTTGCTGCGTCATGACGCCATTACTAAAATGTGGGCGGGCTTTACACCAACGGGCCAATCAGAAACGTTGCTGTCAGAAACAATGAGACGTGTTCTGGAAGTAATATGGTCTGTGTTTACATTAGCATGCTAACACTCAGAGCTAACCTGTGCTGGAGAGAGCATGTGTGTGAAGAAGCAGGAAGTAAAAAGGAACTCACCTCGTGGTAAACCTGAGAGAGAAAGAGTTTGAGCTCCATCCTGTTTCAGAGAGAATCCTTGATGTGGTTTGGAACATGATATGGAGTTTCATCACGGTAGCATTTAGCTGAGTTTCTGCTGGTAGAATTCTGATCAGGCATTAGCTCCACCTCCTTTTTTTGTTGTTCAAGCTAAGGACCCGAACCTGCTCTCCTCTAACAGCTGGAACTGAGGGATTTCTAAAATGCATGATCTGTTTGGTATTTTGAGCAAAACACATCATAGACATGTTTTTATATATTTGTATATCTGAGACCCATAATATATGCGTAGAGATAGCCTGATAGGAGACCTTTGAAACGCTGTTTAACTCTGAACAGATTATTAAACCTGGAGTGATTTCAAACAGGAACATTGTTTTCTAAAGTTACATCATGTTCTCTTTATTCAGACTGAGGCACTGCAGGTTGTCAGAGATCAGCTGTTCTGCTCTGGCCTCAGCTCTGAAGTCCAACATCCATCTGAGAGTTCTGAACCTGGGAGACAACGATCTGAAGGGTTCAGAGAAGCTGCTGAGAGATCTTCTGGAGAGTCCAGACTGCAGACTGGAGACCCTCTGGTCAGTGAGGGGTCTCTACTGGTTCAGCAGTATTGTATGAAACTCAGGGAGGTGTTTCTCTCACTGGGGAAACAGATCAGTGATGTTACCCACTGACTGCAGGCTCTTCCATTCTTCCATCAACTACAGAAGGCCAGCTGAACATGCAAAGCCACACTTTAGTATCAACTCTCTATCAGACATATGGGGTTTTACAGAAGAGCGGGAAAGGTAGTCTGTTCTCATGGGATGTTTTTAGTTTCTAGACCAGGGGTGTCCAAACTGCGGCCCGGGGGCCAAATGCGGCCCTCAGCAAATTCTGAAAGTATAATGAAATACGGCCCACACATGAAACTTCTGCTTGTCTTGTACTTCTTAAATATATATGTACACATATATTACACAGTAGTATTCATGTGTTAATGAGCCCACCTTTAAAATACATGCAGTCAATTCAAGCTGAAAACATTTCCTAACAAATCTAACTTGATAAGAAAAAAGCCCAATAACTTATTGTTATAACAAGCGTGAAATAAACCTTCATACTTCCTGTAATTATAATCAATGTGAAGCTCCTGCTTTAAGGAATGAGCTGCTGACAGAATAAAGTAAACCCTCTGGAGAGCTGAGAGCTCTTTGTTTCTTAAAGCATCTTCAAGTAACAAGCATCCTTCACCTTCATGTGAGTTTCCTGACTTATAACTGAACTCATGAGACAACATTCCTCTAGAGAGCGGCCCAGAGCTTTATATATTTCTCTGTATGTGGCCCTCTGTGAAAAAAGTGTGGACCCCCTGTTCTAGACCAATGACTGGTTACTTCCTGTCATGCAGCTAAGAGCTGTGGCAGTCGTAGTGTTTGCAGAGGAGATATGATGGGATGTAAAGCATGAGGTCAGGACTCTGAAGCTGACTCAAAGAACAAACACTTATTTTAAACTGGATCTCAAACTGTTGGATTGTGTTCGTCTCTACAGGATCAGAGGTGAGACGTTCAGAGCCACGATCCAGAAGACCTGTGAGTACTGAAACCATATCCTCCATTCATCCAGATATGAAACTCTTTAATGGAGCGTGACCTCAGAGGAAAACAACACTCTTCTTTCTCTCTTCATCATTTGAGCTGTTTCTCTTTGTTTCATCATCATCATCATTCTCTCTCTCTCTCTCCTCTCAGGTGACAGGAAGTGAAGACACACAGAAAGGTGAGAGGTCGTACCGTGTGAAGTTTATTTATTGAGGTTTCAACACGTGCTTCTGGTGTTCCAGACAAATCTGCAAGCTCAGGTTTGATTTGTTCTCAGTTTCTTCATCACGGGGCGAGTTTGGGACGTGAAGAGGAGCGCGGAGGCATTTTGGAAAATAAAGAAGAATGCTGCAGCTGATGAGAGACTTCCTGTTAGCTCTCCTCAATATGAAATGAACAAAAACAATCCATTGTACTTAAAGCTTTTCTTGAGAAGAAAGATGTGTTGCACATACTCCTGCTGCTACCTACCACCACCTCCCACCCATCCCGGCACCAGTGAGGAGACTCCATCGACCCCAGATACCCCAACCCACTCTTCTTCAGGTTAGCTCCGAGCCCCGCCTTCACCTGCCCCAACATCTCACTTTGAACGATGTAGTCATCCGGATATCTGCATACTGAGAGTGGGACGCAGGACCCGGTCAATGAGCTGCTGGAAGGGGGTCCACTGGACTGGAGGGGCGCTTGGATCTGGTGATGCCTTGCTCTTCCTGAAAGGGGAGGACACCTATCTGCCATAGTTCTTCCACCTGACGACTGAGTTCGGCATCGGGGGTTCCAGTTGGGGTGAAGAGACTCTGGGGGGCATCCGATGGCTCCTGAATAGGGGGGCCCTTGGAGTGTCCAACCTAATGATAAGAATAATAATAATAATGCATTTAATTTGTAAAGCACCTTTCATTGCTAAAAGTAATCTCAAAGTGTTACAAGGGGCATAATATACTTATTCTTTAAAGAAACACAAGTTTAATAAAAGGCTTTAAAAAAAGAAAGGGTTTTAGGCCCTTCTTAAAGGAGTCAGTGGTCTGTGGAGTCCTCAGTTTGTCTGAGAGGGAATTCCACAGGTGAACAGAAAGCCCCCCCATGGTGCGGAGTTTGGTCCTGGGGGGGGGGGGGGGGAATTGTACGGGGAAGTAGATGGTTGGTTGTAGAATGGAGGTTGGAGGTTTGTGAGGAGAGTAGTTCCTTGAGGTATGAAGGAGCGTTCCTGTGGATGCACTGATGGGTGAGGAGTGAGATCTTTATTTGAACCTAGCTGGAGGGCTATTGGTGCCCCCTGTGGACCCAAAGAGACTCTTTTGGTTGGGGTAATGAGGTGAAAGTTATCTGCACCTATTAGTAGGAGAGGCTGCACTTTGGGAAAGAGGGAAGGGTCTTGTAGGTGGAGATAGTGTTCCTTGAGTTCATCCACAGGATAACTCTAGTCCACAAGTGAAAGTCTGTCGGAGGTGAATGTGTCTTTGAGGAGGAATGTTTTCTTGGGATTGAAAGAGGGTGATATCTCAAAGGTCACTGAGGCTCCATTTCAGAATAATATATATGATATGTTTTATAATGATTGATCATGAAAGTGTTCTCAAAGCTGGTGAAGGTGCAGCTAGTTTGAATGGCTTTGTATACTGCAGGGTAGCTTGTGAATTTACTCCAGGTGGAACTAAAGTCTGATACAACACTTGATTATATTTCACATCATTCATCCACATCTGTAAAGTAACTAAAGGTATTAAATACATGTAGTGGAGTAGAAGTACACCATGTACCTCTGAACTGTAGTGGAGTAGAAGTACACAGTTGCATAAAAAGAAAACTAAGCTTCATCTCCAAGCCCAATGGCCTTGGAAGAGCTGCTAAGGAAAAGGAAAGACATCTGGAGACTTTGGAGAGACAGCTAACGGACAAACTCAAGGAACTGAAAGACCCTCCCTTAAGCCCCTGTCACACTGTCCCGAAGTTGACACCCGATGGACACACGAATATGGAATTGTGAATTTTGCACGAAGATGGCCCCGAACCACACGAAGGCAACATTTACATTACATTTAAGACATACAACTGCAATGAAAGTAACAAAAACAATTATGTTACAGTACTATGATACTGTACTGATATCTTCAGACTTTGTTCTTTACTTTCTCCGTCTTTATATGTAGAAGATATTAAGTTTTCTCCGTCATGTTGTTGTTTCCATAGCAACAACAACTTCCTGTCAACTCGCCTTCAAAATAATATATTATATCCTTTTCAGTTTCACAGAACACAAATTGGGTTATTTACATAATATGTTTACATGATTTTGTTGTGCAATAAAACAACCCGATGGACACACGATAAAGGAAATGTTCAAATTCGGCTGTGATCGTAGCAACATCGGGCCATTCGTGAGGGCATCTAAGCCATCGTATGACCGTCGGTGGAGTTTCTCAGGCTCCGGCAGCAACTTCGTGAGCGGTGGCAAAATCTTTGGCATGCCAAAAAATAGCCGAAGGACCTTGAGAAGGTTCATTTTCGTGTTGAATTTGTGTGTCAATTGTGCCCTTCGTAAGGCCATCGTGAGGGCATCTTGTTATCATCGGTGCCATCGGGCATTCGCCCCGATCAGAGTGAGGGCGAATGCCCGATGGCACCGATGATAACACGAAGATGACACGATTCGACAAGATGCCCTCACGAGTGCCTTACGAAGTTGCCGCTCACGAAGTTGCTGCCGGAGCCTGAGAAACTCCACCGGCGGTCATACGATGGCTTAAGATGCTCTCACGAATGGCGCGATGTTGTTACGATCAGAGCCGAATTTGAACATTTCCTTTATCGTGTGTCCATCGGGTGTCAATTTCGGGACAGTGTGACAGGGGCTTTATAGGCTGTATGCTTATTAGCCTGACCTTGAATGACTTCAGTGCAGTGTTCTGTGCAGGTTTTCTGTTTGCTTTTTCAACTCAAGGAGCTCAAAGACTGATTGAAAGTTGATTTGATTTGCATAATCTCTGATTCAATGTGAAGGAGAATTCACCTTTGAGTTGATACAGTATATGTGTGCATATAATGCACCCTTTGGCCTAACCTGGGAGAGCCTTATGTTCACTGCCAACCTAAGGACCTCCAACATGTTAATAAAGAATGTATTGAAAAGTTATTTGGCTGATTGTTGTATATTGGCTCAGCCAGGTTATATGGGATGCCCAGTCTACTTACAGATGGGTCACTCATTTTGAAATATTACGCTTCGTTTTCTTTTTCTTTAATTTATCATCCTCATGTAGAATGCTATCACGAAACACACATCTGGTTGTTCATAGCATAAAGAACATCTGATTTAATGTGAGGTAGGGAAATAATCATTTGAGGATAAGTATGTGTATATAAATATGTAATTTACAACAGCTGTAAGATGCTTGATAAGTTTGAAATGCACCTTGAATATGCTTGAAAAGTGCTTGAATTTGACCTTGGAAAAGGTGTAAGAACCCTGTAAAAAGTATTAAAAGTTGATAAATCAATTTATCGAAAATTATGGCTATTAAAAAGTAATAAACGGTTGTTTTCAATAACTATATAAATGGTCCAAAGAGGTTGTATTCTACAGCGTGCCTGAATGTAATCATTGCGTAGGTGTGTAGTGTGATTCTGTGTAGTTTATTGATGGCATCCCGTTGGATTTGACGTCATCTGAACAGGACATCGCACGCTCACTGCTTGATAGCGCGAAGGTCCGTTTACGCCGGTTGTTATCAACATCGTTATGGGGAAATGCAAGTTTGCGTCCAAATGGTTGGAAGATAAGGAGGAAGGACAATCAATACTGACCAAAGTCAGGTTGGAAATGTTTTGAAATGTTGTATGTTTTTTTCCCAAAACTTTGTCCATTTATATTTTGTACCATATCTAAATTACACATATCTAGTAAAAGAACCGTACATTTTTTTCATCGTATTTTCAGACTGTATTGGAATATTCTTCCTCTAGCAAAAATGGTCACTACCGAAACATAGTACATACACTGTAGTAAACAAGTATTATATTAGCCTGTTAAGATTGTTTTACCTTCCCTTCTCTAAAAAGTATTTTAACAAATATTTCTTGAGGGTTTTCACAATTAAATTAATAAAAGTGAATTTTTAATCAAATCAAAAAAGTTTATACAAATCCTAAAATGTTAATGCAAACTTTCTTTGTAAAATGCATAACACTGATCATATTGATTCCAGAGTTGATGATTGTTGAAATTGAACATACATTAAACCAGTGGTTCTCAAAGTGGGGGGCGCTCCCCCCCTGGGGGGCGCAGAGGTATGCCAGGGGGGGCACGAGAGACCAGGAGGAAAAATGGCTATAAAAAAAAAAAAAGATAAAAAAAAAAAAAATCATAAATTGAAAAATTATTGATTCGAAAATTATATGATGCAGTACTATTACGTCTGGGTCTGTGTGTTTCATTAAAGCTCGGCTCTGTGTGTGTGTGCGCGAGCGAGCGAAAGAGAGAGAGAACGCACCGGTACCGGAGATCGTTGTTGTTAGCTTCTGGTGCTAGCGAGCTACGCTAACGGATATAAGGAGTTTTTTCAACAACAAGGTGGAGGAGAGTCCTCTCCTGTCAGACTGAGAGGCTCAGTGAGCTAAAGGACTCTCTCAGTGTTATCTCAGTGGGTCTCAAACGTTTTGGTCACCATTAATGTAAACAATTATTTCCGAGGCACACGTTTATATGATCATTATAGTTATAAAAAATAAGAGAATAATGAAAACAGGTATGAAATACTATATGACAGTGAAACAAGAATAAAGTTTAAAAGGGGAATGATTTGTAAAATATCCATAAAGAAAAAGTAAATCTGTTTACAGTTCTGTTTCAAATGGGTGTTGAGAGATGTATCCATAGAGCTCTTCATTTTGCTCTCAAAGTGCACCAGATTGATTGCTTTTAACTTCAATATTTAAAAATAAATCTTCCCGGGGTAGCTTGCCCCCGGACCCCCCTATGTGAGGTCACACACCACCTATAAAAATAGCACTTTACCCCTACTTACACCTATATGCCTCGAGCCTTCATTGTAAATGTCACACTGTGTATTTGCGTGTGGAGTGTTGAGGTAGAACATTCCTCTGTAGCGCCCGGTACATTAATGGGAAACCCTAAATGTTTGAGCACCCTCTATGAAACGTCAAGCTACCCTACAGCACCCCCAAAATAAATCTCTGGCGCCGCCACTGAGCCTGACTATTTGTGTTGGGGGGGCCCGACTTATTTTCTTCTCCAAAGGGGGGGCCTGACAGAAAAAGTTTGAGAACCATTGCATTAAACCAATCAGTATCATTTCATTTTAGTTGATAAGTCAATATACTTTATTTTTTACAAAACATCCAGTGTTTCGGTAGTGACCACAGTATTTTGTTCTCAAGGTTGTATCATATTCCCTCAACCTTATTGCTTAATCTTAACTCACAACATGCCTCATGTTGAAGTGTGAACGTTTGAAGCTACTGACCCAGAATCAGCACTTTAGTAACAGGCTGAAATAGAGGGGGATGAGGCTAGAATGCATGATCTGTTTGGTATTTTGAGAAAAACACTTCATAGACATGTTTTTTTATATATCTGAGACCTTTAATACATGCCTAACAATAGTATAATAAGAGACCTTTAAAGTAACACTGAATTTCAGACTTTAAAACACATTTATTTCAAAATGGTGGGATTTACCTGCTTACCATTCCATTTAGTCACTACCGAAACGATCATGTCAATTACCATTTTGAAACGTGTATTACAATTAAATCACGGTTAAATATGTTCATTGTGTTGTAGTTGTAGCCCCCCCTTGCCAGCGATTCTCTCTGACCAATCAGCAGTCGAGAGTGGTTTAGCATATGCAGCCCGGTTGTTGGCCCGGTAAGAACCTCCATTTTGGAGGGCCAGAAAAAAGGTGAAAAAGTAGCCCTGAGCCGGAACTAGCCCTAGTGGAAAAGCAGAAAGCTTAAACCGTGCTACGTGCTGCAGGAAAAAGCCATAAATGACTTGAATGAATCAGAACGCCAGATTGACCTTGTTTTGATCTGTTTTTCTGCCTACAGAACGAGACGTTCCTGTGTCACCGGTTCACGCGCTTCGTCATGAAGTACAACCTGATGTCCAAGGACAACCTGATCGTGCCCATCCTGGAGGAGGAGGTGCAGAACACCTCGTCAGCGGGGGAGAGCGAGGCCTAAACACACTGCTGCCACAAAGGGAGACACATGTAACACACACATGACATGAGGAGACACATCCACACACCTTGCATACACAGTACACACATATATAATATATATATATACACACTACAGTGTCTACAATAAGGCTCTTGTCTCGTAACACTGTCCATGTCCCTCCACCCTTGTCACCTGTGTCTATCTCAAAGGAAGTGAGGGGTAGCGGGAGCAGAGTTCAGCCATGCCTGCAGGACAAGTTGACGTTTTCTATCCACCTCCCTCTCGCTCTGTGTGTTCAGATCCACTCTGGGGGTCTGCGTGCAGCCCCTGCTCTCACACTCCTCCTCCTGGGGAAACCCCTTTTACCTTTAATGTTCTTTAAGCAGCTGGATTTGCAAAAATGTAATCATGGTGACCTGTATTGTTGACAAAGGCACACGCTGACAGCCCCTTCCTCTGTATATAACCCCCCCCTCTCTCTTAATTCACTACCATCATGTTTTCTGATGGTGCTTCACTTTTTCGTGTCTGCTTCTGTTTCTCTGTTCGCTTATTGTGTTGCCTACCAGCCTGTTTTTCGGGGGGTCGTCCTCTGAAATGGATCAATAAAGTAGCCTGCTGACTTAAAGGGATAGATCAGATTGTGTGTGGGGTTGTCGCATATCCATAGTTCAGGTATGACCGACAGTAACTGCTCTCTAAAAGCCACCAAACTCCATCGTCAGAAACCAGTTATTTTTTACATCGCTGAACACAGAAGTTTCTCGACTTCTGCTGCCTCAACTAGTACGGTTTTTTTGGTGGTATTTTGTGACTTTAGTGTTTAAAGTAGATAGTTTGGATTCACTGACGTCACACGATTTACACAAAATAACTAACTGATAGAGGCAGAAGTAGAACAGCAACGCCTTTTTGTTCTGCGATTTATAAAATCACTGCTTTTATCGATGGCGTCTGGCTTTGGCGAGAGCATCACAAAATGCTTTGGGTCCTCGTTTGACGGCAAGGTTAAGCAGAGGAAATATCGTCATCTACTGTAGGTAATACACTTTTATACAACCCTACTTTAAAACACAAACATCCCTTTTTAATGATGCCAGTGAAACACGAAACGTAGGTGTGTGTGGCTTGTGTGGTAGTGAACAAAGACAAACGTAACCGTGCAGTCAGATATTCTTTCTCATCTCTGAAGTGTTTTTCAGATCATTCAGGAACTCTGATCCTGCTGAGTCGCCCCCATTTTAATACCGTGTGAAATGTGTCGGATATTCCCCTTTCCTCGACAGGGCTGGGTCTGAGGGTCACATGGGACTGAGCTGCTGTAAGCCGGTCTTTCCTAACGCATTAAGACGAGTAAAATACAAGGAAAGGAGGAAATATCAGATACATTTACGTGTCGGAGCACAACCCCCCCCCCCCTTTATTTTACCCTCCCCCTCATTAAGTTATTTTGTGGGAGGAGTCTTGTCAATCCAAACCCACTTTTTTTTAATGGACTAAAATAATTTTGTTACTGTCGACATTTTCATGATGTCTGTTAATAAAAAAGAGCTATTAGTCAGGTGTTTGTGTGGCTGTGTTATCATTCATGGGGCTTTCCAGTGATGGGTCTGAACCAAATGTGTGATTTCCAATAACTACGGCGTTAAGACCAAAAGTAAAACAAATAATACTGGAAAAATAGGAATACGCATTTCCAAAAAATGACATGTTTTTGATTTGTATTCTGCTTCAATCCATATTTGTTAGGCTATTTTAATTTGTGGTTAAGACGTGTCTCTGGCCGCTGAAAGGGATCCACTGAAGATTTATATTGAAGTTGTTTTAACAGGGTGTCCGCGGGGTCTTAAAAACAGGGTTCGTACGGGTACATTTCATGTGGTGTTTTCAAGGTTTGAAAAGTGCTTGGATTTTGGAGAAAGTGCTTGAAAATCTACTTGCTTTACTTTTATAATAAATTGATGTCTGGCTGAATAGTTCGCTTTTTGTGATTAAAAAAAAAAGAGAAAGAAGTCGGAGCGAGCTTAATTACTTGTCATAAAAAGACAGCTCCACTCCTTTTATACATATGTTGATATTTGAAACCTTTTTTTCAGTTTTAGATTTTCCGTTTTCAGATTCCAAACAATTATCTTTTTAGTTTCAAATCTTGTTTTTTCAGGTTTCACCGTTTTTTTCGCTTTCAGACTTCTGGCCCTGATGTTGCCTGGGGGGGGGGGGGGGCTTACCAAAGAGTAGTTTAGCATCCTGAGTAGGGATGGGTATCGTTTGAAATTTATCGATTCCGATTTCGATTCCGGTTCTTATCGATTCCCCGTTTCGATTCCAAAATTGTAAAATAAAGAGGTCAAACGTTTAGATAACAAAAATATATTTATTCTTAAAAGCTTTAACTGAAATTGTTACTAAAAAATATACATGCAATACAAATGTATTGCACAATAGCTGTGCTTTATTTTAACTGAGCTATGCCTGTGGCAAGCTATTAACAGGCATTACACTTTGCCTTTTCTTTTTCTTTTTTAGTGTAGTGGAGCCTCACTTCAGAGTGTTTACCGCGACCTATCTTTGGTGTTATGAAGTGACTGAGCTCGTGAAATGTCTACGGGAGGGCGGGGGAGCATCGCTGCGGGGCAACTGTGGACCTCTGTCGCCTGTCAGCGCAATTTATATGATGCCGTTTAAAAAAATGAAGGGCGGTGCCGGCCGTCAGCGTACCGAGCCAGCCGTCAACGGCCCGCTGACGACCGGCCGTTCTGTGATTCTCCAGGTCCGCCCTGTATTGCACCGGGTCACCGCAGCACCGCGGTGCAGACGGACCCGCTGGAATACAGGGTCTACCGCGTTTAGGAACCGTTAAGCAGAACCGAAATTGTGTATTTTGTATGGGTACCCGGTACCCGGCATTTTCTTATCGGTTCTCATCTGGAACCGAGTTTCGGTTCCCAACCCTAATCCTGAGTGACTTCCCTCCAGGCCCGGTTCTACGGGGGTGCATAAGGGTGCATTGCACCCTCAGTTGAGTCGTTATGCACCCTCATTTGAAAAGTGAAAAGTGAAAAATATTACATATATAATAATAATAATAATAGTAGTGATAATAATAATAAGAATAATTTAGTTGAAATAAAATAAATGGTAATTGTGGTTAAATAACATTGTCTGCTGCATTTATTTGGTCAATTTAAACGGTAAGTAACGTTATTATGTGAGGTGCGCGTGACCTGTGCCGCTGCGCGTTCGTCATCTGCAAGGTGCTTACACAGCAGTCAATGATGGACATCAGAAAATGGTTAAAACAACCAGCCCTTATCGCCAGCAGTAACACTGCATCTACTGCAGGTAACAACAGTTCAGATCATGGGGACATTACGTTACGTTTGTTCTCACTGTCGTGGACACTAACGTCCTCCTGCCCGACTCGCCGGCTTTGCCCACCTCGCCCACGGAGGCAGAGCAGCCGCAGCCGTCTTCGTTGCCCCAAACACCGCCACCCCTCGGCGCCCCACAAGTCCCAGAGGACCTCGGCAAAACAGAGCCTGCCCAGGTATATTTAAAAAAGTACCCAACTCGCGTGTACAGTGGGGTAAGGCGCTAATTTTGCTGCTCATGGTTTCAAAACAGAGATTGGCTGGAATATTCATGTAAAAAGATGCCATCTTCTGCTATGCATGTAGACATTTCGGTTCAAGTAAGTCAGATGCCTTCACCACAACGGGCTACAACAACTGGCGCCATGCTCTTGTACGTGATAAGGGACTGGGAAGGCATGAATCAAGCAAAGAGCACATCCATAGATCTCTTATTGTTGCTCTCAAAGTGCACCAGATTGATGCTTTTAACTTCAATATTTAAAAATAAATCTTCCCGGGGGAACATGCCCCCGGACCCCCTTAGAGGAGGTGAGGACCCCCCTAGAGGGTGTTAGGTCCACTCCCCACTTATAACAATAGCACTTTACCACTGCACCCTCTCTAATCTCAGATGCACCCTGAGTCATTTTGTTCTGGAACCGGGCCTGCTTCCCTCCCTCTGTCATGTTGCCTTCATGGATGTAAGGTAGCGCGAGAAATATAACTCAACACTTTCTATACACGACAACACTCCCGTGATTGGTGGGAAACCAAACTGATACCAGCGTCAAAGTTCCGTTAAGCGAGCTGTTGAGCATCGCAGTTCAGAATCAGATCAGAAAACCTGTATTAGTCCCACAGAGGGGACATGTACGTTGTTACAGCAGAAAAGAGCCACTGACAGCTTAATGTTACATAATGTTACATGCAAAAAGTATTTAAAGTAAAAAAAAGTTATATGATAAAAAATATATTAAAATAAAACGTTATACAATTTACAAAATACACATCCTGTAACAGTTCTGAGGATTTAGCAGGCAGGTATATATTGCAGTTGTATAAAGGGTTGGGTGAAGTGTTTTGCCCAAAATACCAAAAATACCTCATCTGCACTTTTCCCCATAAAAATGAATTATAATCAATACTTTTAGATGTAAATGGTTTATTGTGTCATTGGGTCTCTGAAGCAATCAAACTGTTATCAGACTGTTATCAGAGTTTTCTCAGACTTTTAGCACTCTTTCCCCGCAAAAACGACTTTAAACCATCAGTGTCACTGTTGTGGGGATGTAGGAATGTACCTGTGTCTGGTGCGGAGCCTCCCTGCACTTTAAATCAATTGATTTGCCTTTACTTATCGTATTTCCTACTGTTAATGCACTGTGCTCATGTCGGGTGATGCGCTCCCTGGAGCCCTCCTGTGGGGAGACTTGGAACTGCATTTAAATCACTTTGTGCTTTTTAAGCCATTTAAAATAGTTTTTCTCTCTTTTAAAATACTTTCTGCCCTAGAAATGATTTTTAATCAGTATTACCATTATTTAGGGGCTGCATGAACACGAATTGGAGCATCCCTGCACACTTCCCTCTTATTTAAAACCATTTTCAGTGAGGTGCTGCAGCGTGATTCTCTCCTTTTTCCTCTGCCCCTATTTAAAACACTTGCTAGAGGTACAATCTCTATTTCAGCCCTGATTTTGGCACATCTTATAAATTAGTTAAATGTAGCCTTGTGTTTTTATTTAAGTCGCTGTTCATTGTTTGTTATATAAAGCAGATTTAATGATATCCTATGGAGGTTGATGAGTGGATGTTGTGTCCTTTTGATTACTTTGTTGAGCTTGTTTTTAGCTGCATGTCTTTTTCTATCTCACTGAACAAAGTCCCTGCGTGTGAAGTGCTTCAGCTGATAAGGCTGGTTATGAATCAGAGGAGGAGCTGCAAACAGGGCGGGAAGTTGAAAGTGAAAGTATGAAGTCAGACTTGGCAGACTGCCAGACGCCATTTTACAGCTCGACACGAGGAGGACAACAGGGTGAGTGTTAACACCAGGATCTGCTTTTTAACACATTTATTATTTACTCTGTCAAACTGGATGTCAGAAAATAACTTATTGGTTAACAATCTTCGTCCTAGAGTCCAATGAGACTTCTGCAAGTGTTGTACACTTTTATTATTTCCTGTTTTCTGATTCTTCAGAGTATAACATGTGAGAGCCCAGCGCAGACAAAATGGAGAACGGCCTGTCTGAAGTCTGACTGATTTCATGTATTTTAACTCTGTGTGTGTGTGTGTGTGTGTGTGTGTGTGTGTGTGTGTGTGTGTGTGTGTGTTTGTGTGTGTGTGTGTGTGTGTGTGTGTGTGTGTGTGTGTGTGTATGTGTGTGTGTGTGTGTGTGTGGTTACTGGTGTATCTCTCAGACTGGAGAAGATGAGTGATTTAAAAGATGAGGAAGAGGATACATCTTCAGTCTCCAGCTGTCTGTCTCTGAAGAGTGACGGGTCTATGGGCAGGCTTCCTCCAGGCTTCAGTAATGAACCTGGACCCTCAGACACAAAGTAAGAGTTTCTACTGTAACCTGACCTGAAGAGGATTCAGTTTGTTGGTATCTGATCATCTAAACTGTTTAATGAAACCCAGTAGAGTACATTAACAAGTTGAATTGATCTCTTGCTTCTTGTCATCATCAGAGATGGTAAATAATCTACCAGTGAAATCATCCTCACACTCTACATGTTGGACTTTGTGTTAAATTAAGCAAATCAGATACAAATATGTAAAACGTTTCACACTCGAATGAATTTTAACAACAGAAACCCACAATCACGACTCAACAACTCTAAACATCTTTAATAAGGTGAACAGCAGTGGCGGTTCTAGACCAATTTGACTGGGGGGGCCACTGGGGGGCCAGTTATTTTCTGAGGGGGGCACAATAAATGCAGGACGAAAAAGAGAACTAGACAGTATGAAGTAATTGCGCATAAGAAAACAATGCAATACAGTTATTGGTATTTGTTTCAGTACACTTATTTATTTCAGATAGATCTTATAGTTATTACTGTTAGCTTCAGCTTAAGTTATAGTGCAATGTTTGCACTAACACCATATTTATATAAAAATAAAGGCAATGAACAGTTACATCTCTACTTTACATAAGGGTGTCTGCACAATCTCACATTACAGCAACAAAATCCTGAGTACCAGAAAATATACATTTAAAAAAAAATACTTTTCATTGTTAGGGGGGACACAGGGGGGTCAGAGGTCAGTGTTAGGGGGCACTGTTTAAATGTTTAAACATGTTTAAACTGTGTGTGTGTGTGTGTGTGTGGCCCCCAATGCCCCCCCCTAGAACCGCCCCTGTTGAACAGTCATAGATCAAAAGCTGCTCTTTAAATAAACTAATGATGTTTAAACTTGTGTTGTTTCCACAGACAGAGAGCAGAGTCTCCGGTCTCCATGTGGTCTCTGAAGAGTGACCGGTCTAAAGACTGGACTCCAGACTTCAGTAATGAACCTGGACCCTCAGACACAAAGTAAGAGTTTCTCCTGTAACCTGACCTGAAGAGGATCCAGTTTTGATGTAATCTAATATATTAAACTGTTCTTTAATGAAAT